TATAACAGGTAGGTCCAAAAGCTAAGATGGCACAAACTCTTCGCGAGATCCAGATTCCATCACTGGACTATCAACTCTCAGAATCCTCGACCTGTAGTATTTGTGTCAACACCTGAAATTGACTCATTAGAGAGGAGTATAAATATTCATAAAGGGTACTATAAAAAGACTTATATAGGCCTTCAGTTTCGTTTTATCAGTACGTAGCTTTGGATCTGAAGTTTGGGTTATGAGACGTTTTTTCATATGCTGTGTGACATTTTGTTATACATTTCCGTTAAGGCTGGTATTATAAAATTTTGGGTGATTTCTAATTGCGTGACTGTGAGTGATTGATATTTTTGCTTTGTATTCTAGATGTCGAATGCGTTACGCAGTATTTTCGAAGGTTGATAGTTGGTTAGAAAATACATTCGTCTATTTGTAAGTGAAACTTATGTATTTAAAATATCGCAACTATTCAGTAACTGACAACTCTTTTGTCCATGAAAAATTTATGACCGAAGGATTACCAGCGGTCGAACTAGAAGTCAGGAATAAAAGAGTTCGAGGATATACCCGGAAGATAGTCATTATGAGGAGCGTCTCCAATCACTAAACCTTTACCTGTTAGATTTCAGGCTTCTTAGAGGTGACCTAATAGCTTACAGTATCCTTACCACTTCTGGACATCCTCTTAAAGGCCTGCTTAGTTTGGCTCCAACGCAAACCTAAGGAGTAGCACCCAGAAATTGGAGACACAACACAGCAGAATGGACTGCTAACACAACTTCTACTCCTCAAGAGTTGTCAAATGCTGGAACTCGAGTCCATGAGACTTCTCAGGCGTTCTTTAAGAGGAAGCTTGGTCTATTCTTAAGGACCAGGAACAGTATCTTACTATGATCTACCAACTTTTATTTTCTCTATTATCATTAATACACCTAGGTTCTTGCCTAGAGGTACTGATGACCCAATGCTACTAGACGTGGAAGCCTGTTAAACGAAAGCTTCTATTCTATCCACATCCATTTGAACCATTTGAATATCGAGAAGTTTATGATTTAAGCTGTCTTGTTAGATTGAGGTTTTTCGCTGCTCTTATGCGTCTTTACTTTCAGTTTACCTGGTAGATATATACGTAAACAGAAATCAGGATTTATGAACGGGAAATCGCCAGCGATGTTGATATGCATTGTGCTTTAGGTCAACGGAATTACAATTTTCACCACTAATTTATTCCTCGCTTAGCTTACTGCAGCTCTAGAACCATTATTCTTACTACAAAGTATTTACATCATTCGTCCAAAAAAAGAAACTCATTTGTTGATGGTATATATTTCAATATAACTTATTAGATCATGTTTCATAATGACACTATTTTCTATCCTTATCACCGTAAATCACTTCGAAATCACAGGGCCTGCATGTTACCAATGAACATTAACATAAGTTTTGAATTTTTTGACTTGTTAATAATCTTTATTTCCTGACCAGCTATTAACGCGTACCTTCGATTCATTATCCACGGCGTTGGTGCCCGGAGGAGTTTCATAGATTTCATAGCGACACACGACGAGCAATAATTTCTCAAGTCTTCGACGACCCTTCAAACGACCGTTGGATCTAACGAGGGAGTTTTGTCCGGAACCAGGCTAGGTCACATCAATCCTGTTTACGTTGATTAGATCGACTGTTCACTTGGGTTGTTGACGTATCATATGTTTCTAGTGTGGAAGGCGAGTATTCAAAAATTTCGTTACATAGCCACAATCAGATTTGACTTGGTTTTCGATCTCATGGGATTTTATGGGCACATTTAGATGAAGGTTCTCGATCATACATCCTGATAATAATCCACCATAGCCCCGAAAAAGGCTATCACTGTTGTGTAGATGTCTAGGATAGTTGTGTTAGTTTCTACAACATTTATCCACTAACAAGTATATATGTTTCTCCCTTACTTGTTTCTTGAGTATATCGTTTGTGTGATCGATATCGAGTAAATTTATGATGCTAGAAGAACAGAAGCAATGAAGGAACAAGCTAAGGTCTCATTACGAGAAGGTTGATGATTCAGTCATCCATGTAGATGTAACTTTACCTCACTTTATTTAATAACTGGTGAAGATAAAGAAGAAGGTAAATAAAGAAATGTCTCGTTGATTCATGCAGGAACGTCGTCAATTGGTGGCTCGACGAAGATTTCTTTTGTTTACATGCTGCGTGCCTTAATGAGTAAGAGAAAATTTTTTATCTGTTAAAATCACTAGACCATTTTCTACACGCCTTTTCATAAATTTCAGGTCATTTGCCACTTTTACCAGCAAAGTGAGTCTCCGAATCTTGGGAACTCTATAAAAGAGAGACTGTAAAAGAAGACCGGGAATGTTCTTACCAAAAACATAGTGGAATTTTCATTGTTTTTAACACATAAATAGTCAGTGATTTTTACTAAATATCTGATTCAGTATGGAATACTTCGTTTCTGAGTGCTGTTGGTTTGTAGACTTTCGCAATAGACCGTATATCACAATAGGATAAGGAAGATAACACATATTTCAGGATGGTTATTGCAATGGTTTATAAAAAAGTTGCTCAAACACTCTATGGTAGATACAACATTTACAACTAACTCTTAACGACCGCAGCTGTTGTTTGATCAGTGCGATACAGCTTGTATGCGAATATGAACTTGTCATCACCGTGATCTAACTCAACTGTTGAATTATAATCTACTAGATAGAAACCAGTATTCGCTCACAATCAATGACCACGGAGTATAAAATCGATCCAGAATAATCGGAATCGGATACGGATCAAATTTTATTAGTCTGATCTGATAGAAAAATTATCACATAGAAATCTAACACACGAAGACTTGACGTGTGCTACACATGGAACGGAAGCATAATTGCAAAGTGTTAGCAATCTCGTATGCACAATAGCTTAACTATAGAGCGAAAACATTTTCGCAAATCTATCTCCAAACAATCGAAAGCCCTCTAAAACGGATATGCCAGACGATACTGGAAGTCAAACCCTTAGAATTCTTAACCTGTCTCAATGCAAATGAAGGCGATTAATATCTCCTTACAACCCTATCGTCCAAATATCAAATACATTATTCCGTCGGCAAGACTGTCATCCTTCTTCAAAGATTTTGACAAATCAGGATACTCTGACTGTCACAACTGAGCAGATTTGGTTAGAAATGACGTGATATCGATGCAAAAACATATGGATTCGACATACGTATTGTGGCTAGTCAACAGTATTCGATTAGGTCTATTTACCTAGTAGCATAAATACGTTTATTAATAGTGACCGTTTTCCTGAAAATCAGTTATCCATACCAATAAGAAAGAACTGTACCAGACCAACATGGTGTCAAAAGCCATCTGCCAATGATACTCTTCGTGGCGAAATCTCTCTCTAGAATGTTAGGTGACCTGAAATTTCAACGATTTGAGAATCTTAAGGCCTATCCAAATAAATTTACTCCATATTATTATCTCGACCATATGGCATATTGGAATAAGTTCAGAAAAGAGCTACGAGATGTCACTAAAATTGGCTAATAAAACATCTACATTTTGATACGCAAAGCAATATGATTTCCGAAATATGTCGAGGAAGACAGAACACATTTTCAAATCGAATAAGACTCATAACCAGTTAATAATAATGTGCATTATCTAGTTTTAAACGTCGAATATGACAACTACCGACCGAATAAAACACTAATTTGGCCAGTAGTATTTCTGCATGTTGCAGCTCAATGAGCACATTCAAGTGTAACACACACATGCTAAGTTAAACGAATCATGTAAATAATGAATTTACTTGATCTTAGCCCCAAAATGGTAGCTTTTAATGATAAGCATGATTTAGTGCCACTGTAAGATTCAGTGTTGACATCAGAATTGTTAAACGTTAATTTATAATTGATCATGTTATTGACATATCAAGGGATGAACTTATAAGACATACAAATACAGATACGAGAGCCAACTAAACATAACAAATAAATTAATGATACACTGCTGACTTCTGTTAGTACTTTATACCTCGCTCTTTTACACTCCAAACGAATTTACTAGATACCTTAGAAGACATCTACATCTAAAAACCCAAATCATATTTTTCAAGGTAAAAATATCCTCCTCATTGTGATACTCAATACTAGTAAACCGGTTTGTCAAAACTGTCTCAATGTGACCATCTTACCAGTCTTTAAAATTAAAATGTGTGAACTTATTACGAACTATTATATTGAAATAGAAATACGAATGGTGCGTTACTTTACCCAATCTCCGGAGGCATACCAAAAATAGGTACTCTCGTAAGTCACTAACTCTTGAAAACCCAACACTTTGGAATCCGAACAGATCATGTTTGTTAAAGACTGACCTGTCGATTCACCATTTGACAAACTTAATACACTAACAGTATACAACACAGCAGAAATGTCACAGGACTCTACATCAAACTCATGATGCTACAAACATTGAGTATGTTAAATAATGACACCCTCATCCCCAGGCTCTTTCATGTTCATTGACAATAAAGATAAGTTGAAATAACCATAAAGAAACTGTTGGCAGGACAAACCAAGTAAATGAATTGATTTGCGCCCAACGTTTATTTTTAAAGTAACTGATGAGTGGCGGGTAAATGGTAACCAGAAAAGGTTTAATGGACACATCAAATTTTTTTAAAACTAGAAAGTACAGTAGTAATTTAGGGTTCTAATTATATTACTTTTGAGAAATACAACATATGATGAAATATACCACTTAAATACAAAGGGAGATACCAATAATATTTCACAAATGCGTGTATGTCAGCTAGTTTAGGAAGAAGAGAAAATCATAAACAGCTTTAGGAACATATAGAAGTCGAATTATTCAATGAAGTCGAGGAGATACGAAGGAATTTTGGGAGAAAAACTATGAAAACATTTTACGTTGATTAAATAACACGAGATCTAACCGACATAATGTACAGTGTGGCTGATATCATAGTAATATATTGTTCGAGTCATCCTTGGAAGAAGTAGAACTTTCAATACGAGGACGCTTGAACGAGTTTTGTGAGTTCCCAGTGCTACTGGTCACTGAAAATTTGGAGAGCGGATCAAGAAGATCTAAGGAAAAAATAAAGGTATATATATCGTTATAATCCAGTAGTACGTAGAATGGGGAAGTTAACAAAAAGTGAAAATATCAAAGATATACAAAGCCAAACAGATTCAAACAGAAAAAAACCAAGTGACATTCTGGTAAAAGCTGGTCACCAGCATAGATGTGGATACTGGAAGACAAGTCAAGTACATCCTGAAGCAATTAACACTGACCTTATAAGCATAAATCAGTAATTGCGTTCTAATTTTGGCCAATCGTATTTAATAAAGACACATAAACTCCTAGACGGTAGTTCTTGGGGCTTTCTAAGATAGTCGGCTATCACCATGAAGCGTACCAACACTTTAGTCTGAAGATTATTCTCCCTATAGCAGTATTTATCCGGATTTTCCTAATTAACGATTCTGAAGTGGGGTTGGTAACCCTGTGCCCAACTCTTCTTCTTCGATTGGGCTTGTGACTGGCATTAGCCCCAAAAGGGTTCCTTTGAACGCTAAAAGTCACTAAATTTAATTTGAAAATTTATGTAAATCTATATTTGAAAAGAACGATACGTGATAAACGTACTTATGATCTGTACAGCATCCTGAAAGACATTGAATGGATCCCGATTGATTGATTCATCATGATAATCAGTAGAATTACAGACACGGTTATTCGCTACTTGATAACTAGGTAGTATGCGATGATGACGCTTCCTTCTCTGGGTCAATCCATCACAAACTAATTGTGAAATGCTTGAATGATTGACGAATGAACTGATAGGGGGTATGAAAGCTGTGAATGAAAAGGTAACACACAATAACCTTGTTTAAAATTAATTGAGTTATTTTATATTACCGGATAGCTTATTTAGTAGTAAAAGTAATAACCATGACCAATAGGACTTGACAATCATGTTTATACTGATGTACTGGCTTTGTAGATAATTTAGTTGTAATACCGAGAGGATTTGGCAGAACTAAGTCAACACAGCACGTTAACTTTGTCAAAATTATTATATTACAAAAGTGAAATTCATAACCAACAGAAATGTAATCAAAAAAAGTGTAGATTTTGATGCAGTTTTCTTAAGATTATCGTATGTTATAGTTATTATGGAGTCATGGTAATGGGGTAACTGCATCAAACAATAACATAAACTCTCTTTCTAAACATTATTGTGAATAGTTTCCAGTTAATCATACATGTAATTATTAGATGTTACACTTTTGCTAACAACAGACACGTAAATCTTCAGTTTTAACACAAAATAAACATAAAAGCGGTAAATAAACACGGTTGAATTAAAAAAAGCATATAATATAAACAACCATTTAAAAATACAGAAAACTCATTAATCTAATCTACTGAGAGAAAAACACCGTAAAACTCAAAAGAAGCATCTCACTACTTTATAGTATCCATGAGCATTAAGTATCATGGATTCTAAAACAATGCAAATTTAGTTAGTAAAAAAATTTTTTTAACAACAAATTAAATTCTCCTTCTCGTTTATTTAAATCTTTTTATAACATTCCACTCGTTGAAATTCTAATTAATTATCTTTAATAATTTTGTTTAATGATGCTGCACTCTTTAACTTTATAATAGACCTCCGCATATACAATTAACTATGAATACGACTACACAATTTAAGAACATCAAATGATGGAATAAAAACTTAAAAATTTGGTTACCATTAAGTAAATCCATGAGCTAGGTAAGCAAAAAATGGGATAAAATTATTTGATTCGATCATCGGGATACTATGATGTGAAAAGTCCATTTACTAAGAATCTATTTCATGAAAGGAAACTGAGTAAGTTTTACGTTTCTGCTCGACCAATAAAATTTTTTATCTTGTGTAAACAAGAAGTTTGTGATGGATAAATCAGTCTGTTTTTGACGTGCATTGAGTTGTGAATAATTAGTGATTGAAGTAATAAAAAACTCACAAATAATTATGAATACAACCTATGGAGTGAACGCGACAAATTTGCTTATTATTTTTGATCGTCGCGCAATCTTACCAACCGAAAAATAACTACCAAAAAAGAGTAGGTAAGGTGGTAACAGTTTTAGGTACATGGTAGATACGATAAGAAAGTTCAAGATAAGCAAATTAGTAATTATTGAAATTAAAATTCAGAACGTTTAAAGTGAGACTGAAAAATATTCAAGTTAATTTATGGGTTCAAACTATACGGTATGAAGCAATATATGTAGCATCGAAGGTGATCGTAACACATTCATCAGAACAAGCTACTTTGGATAAAGTGAGCTATTTTAAGATCAGTATAGGGTTGTAGAAATTGTTGAGTTCCATTGATATCATGAACCGATCTAAGTTAGACAACTACTCTAAACTTGGTAGCACTAAACAGTTGTTTCACCCTATTATTGAACTCCTCAGGAGGAATAACGTTAAAAAAAGGTGGTTTAAATTTACTGTTCATATCTGCTTCTACATCAATGGTAAATTTTTCATAACTTCTCCCTTTACACTATTAAAACTTATCGTTCAATAATATTAATAAATTTAAAAGTGAAGCAGTCGATTATCGTTTTAAGATAGATATAAAAGCCAGTAGTTTGTTCAGTGTTTACTTAATAAAAAGTCCTAGCGATTACGTTATCATTGGTTTAGATTCAGCTTCGAACGTGGTTACATTTAGAGATCATGTTTCCTAAAATCCTGTTTCTTTGTATTATTGGGAGAAAATATGATGCACCTAGAGGTATTGGGCACATTTTGATAATACTTGAACCGACCACTATCTATTTAATATCTGTGGCCATGCCTTAGAAAATACCGTTAATATTTATGAAAAAAACAACAGCCGTTATCACGTCAACCTTTCAGATGTGCGCATCCATGACTCCGTAATCGAGGGTTGAAATCCAGGACTTTTGGTCTTACATACGAACACTTAACCTCTAGACCACCAAATCGGTATTCAGTGGCGTACAAGCCAAAATTCAGTCGATTCACGATATTGTGCGACCATGCTCAATTGCCTTCAGTGGTTAACATAACTAATACTTTCAGGTTTTTTAAAACTGTCGAGTTGGTTTTTTGACAACGTAAACAAATTTCCACTACTCTATGAAACGACTATTTATATGATAAGTAAATAACCCCGTGTCCTGGTAATGTCTTTCCGAATAGTATGCTGATTCAAGAACATGGTAAAAGTGGGTAGATCATTCGAAATTTTATAGCTGTTGGTTTGGATAAAAAGGAACTTATCTAATTAAGAAACAGTTATAATAACCGAAAACGAATTTGAAGAACAACCAAACAATTGATGGGTCTTTAATAACAGATGAATGTCACCTACCTAATTACTGAAAAATAATTAGATCCAAGAATAATCATTAAAGACATTATTGAACATGTCTGCCATCAGCCAAGGAGTTAAGTCAATGTAATTAAGAAAAAAAAGGTAAAGAATACCGTCCGAAATAAAAGTTGTCGACTGTACAGATGATTGTTATGACCTGGAGTACGTCATCTTCCATATAACACTATTACATGCACAACAGAAACCCTTAAACATGATTATAAACGTGCTTTATAATTCCATCTAAACAGGGATAATAAATTTATCTTCAAGAAGTATATGCGTGTTACCCTCGTGGATCCTACTGTCGAACCATTAGCTCTTAAACAGCCTAAACGATTTAGAGCCGAACAAAATGAGAGAATATGTGTTACTCACGAACTTGCTTAATGAATCCGACAGTGATATATTAAATAAATACACAAACTAAGTTGCACAAGAAATATGTTGAGAAAAGAAACAGTTTAAAGATAGTCACAGATTTTACTGATCCCCAATTAAATACCATAAACTAACTGACAGATGTACTGAACATGAAATCCATAAATTTTAGAATAAAAGCGGCTACATTTAATAGTTAATTAATTTGTCGGCGAGACTCTAATTTAAGGACGACCTTTGAACGAATCTTAAGTGACCTTGACAACTATTAGCCAATCAGAAGAAAGTTAGTATAAAGTGAAAATATATTATATGAAAGTAATGAATTACAGTGGATTCTTCTTTTACATGATTTAAAAACTTGTTAAGGTTTGATTAAGGTTCAGAGGTTCTGAATTCACAATGCATATGGAATAGAAACTCGTTAGGGTTAGGGTTAGTTGAGGGTTAAGGTTTAGGGTTAGGTGAGGGTTAAGGTTAGGGTTTAGGGTTAAGGTTTAGGTGGGGGTTTAGGGTTAGAGTTAGGTGAGGGTTAAGGTTAGGATGCTAACATACGAGTTTTTAAATCATGTCAAAGAAGAATATCCACTGTAATTTATTACTTTCTTTTAATATATTTTTACTTTATGCTGTCTTCTGATTGACTAATAATTGAAATTGCTCAAACGCTTCTGATTGGCTCGTCCCTAAATTAGAGTCTCGCCAATTTGTCTTTTCTATGTACAGCGTTACATCTCATTAGAATAGTAGTTTTTAAATCATTCATTCATAAGACGTGAAAGGAATAATTTAAATTCTTTATAATGATAATTTTAATCCAGCGCTACCGTGAACATTTCTATTATTTTCTACTTTATAAGCTTGAAATTGTTATAGATTAGAATTTTAAGATTTCTAACTGAAAACGTTTGAGGATTGTTAGATTAATGGATACAACGTGTCAATCGATTGGTAATATATTATGATGCGATGTGTCCGAGTGATTGTTAACGAACCTGATTATTGACTCACTCTCTCCGAATGAATTAATATCAAAGATAAGACAACCAACTACCAGAATAGAATTACTCAATCTACTAAAATAACGTGTTCATACATGAGATAACACAAAAATAAATATGACTAGATGTTATGAACAATTAACCAATATCATTTTTGTAAGTTACGCACTCTCCTGACTATCACGACTAATTTTTGGTGCGTCATAATAATTTATGCTACAAGGGAGTTTTTCAAACATTGTTCATATGTCATTTATTTAAATAGACCTATTGTATTAGAGCTACGAAAAATATAATTTCAGTATGAAGTGGATTGACAAACACTTACATGAATAAAGCGTTTTCAGTAACCTACGTTAAATAGTATGAGTTCATAAATTAAAATATTGAAAAGTACTTGGTAATGGGTAAGTTTGAAATACACGTTTTATTCGCATAATACTGTAGAATTTAATTAAAAACAATATAAAAAGGTCATTGTAACGATCTTATTAGCTAAAAAGGGCTTATGGTTTCATTAGTATACTCAATAAATAAAAGATCATTAGATCTTACTTAAATCTAGGACACTAACAGCTAATTATTAAATCTGAAAAGTAACATAGAGCAACTGGTAAAACACCCAGAGAAATCAGTTTCTTGAGCAATTGTTTTTGAATTCTTTTAGTTAATAAAGGGTAGATTGGGACGAAAAGATGAAATTAAACTGATAGACTACTTATTATACCAACAGAGTAAAAATAGTGGTACTGACAGAAGTAGAGGTTTGAAAACATAAGAAGCGTATAGACCAGAAGGATGTTTAAATAGTAAATATATCTTCACTTTTGTGGGATTTATAATATCTCTTCTCCAATTATTAGTTAGAACTGTCTCATGAATACCGGCCAGAAAGCCTATATGGTTCACACCTAATAAATTGATATCATACCTTAATCAGGCTACACTTTGTTTACAACGGATAATAGGATACTAAAAAGTGTATCACATAGACTTATCAAGCACAGTCAGAAAATACGTGCCCGGAAAAATGCTATAACTACCAGCGTTGATGAATGACCATATATTTATAAACTGAATAAAAACCGTTGACTAGTTTTACAATTGATGGCAAAACACTTTACACAATAGCTTTAATAAAAAGCAACGCCATATAACAAGTACTTATGGCCAAATACCTGTAATATATCCATGTTTTCTTGCTTTTTACTGACAAATTGATAGAGTAAACAGCATCCCAGTCAACTTCATTAATAATAGGTGGGAAAACATTTCATTTCAACGGTTGAAACTAATAGGGCACCAAGAAAGGAACATATAAACGAAAGCTCCCTGTAAAACCACGTGATAGTGGTGAAAGTGAAGATGGATGTGGAAAATTACATACAGTTTATGGCTTCTAGTTTGCCATTAGTATTTACAGAATGGAAGTTAGATAGATTGTCATGACCGACGTATCTAAAACGTTTCTTAGAACATTACCGTGAGTTTTATTTTGGCTAATTATTATTCTGTACTGGTACAGATAACTAAAACATCCAAGCCTCCACTTTTCAACAAGTATAAGTATAAGCTTGCACCTGGGATATGAGAACCCTAAGCACATCCATTTCTCCTACTTTCAGTTATAGAGCTCCTAACAATTTTTCTTATAGCTGTTATTTTTCTCTAAACCATATGATAAAGCAAATGAGTCCGAGACTGCTGTGACCAAATCAATATATCTAACAATATTAAATATGAGCACAAACGAATCCTTGGAAGTAGTTAGAATGAGTAGACAGTTAACATTTGACAACATAAAAGTAAGAAATGTCAAGTTTTAGACATAAAAGAGAAAAATTATAACGGTGATAACAGAGCAAACAGAGGTGGTAATATTGCTAATAACCACGAAATGTAATGTTGTATACCTTTTGATGCTGGTAACGAACTAGGCACTATCGACTTTACTACTTCATCGTTGTGTCTGATAGATCCATCTCCATTGAGACCATCAATGACGCCATACAAATTTGAATCATCTAAGACGGTGTTCATAACAGGAAAGAATGTTTGTTTGTTTTTAGAGCATCTATTACGACAACGCTTGTGACCGCAATAATCCAAAGCAATTCTCTTAGATAAACGAGGACAATAAACACAATGGCGTGGACGCTTTCTTTGGAGTTTCCTGGAACGACCAAGTGTTTTAGTGCTCCCAAGCAATAATGATTCCAAAGGCACATAAACTTCAACCCCATTGTCCCCTGTAGTAGTTTGAATATTCTCATAAGCTAAATCTCTCAAATGAAGGCGTAGATATTGAGAACCGACAATTTTTCCATAGCTTAGTGCAGCTTCTACAGAATTCTCAGATCCTAAAGTAGTAAAAGATTGTGAAGTTCAGACATATTACATTCGATAATAAGAGAAGCATTAATGAACGGATAGTATAAAGTGATTGTTCTACATGCGTTGTAATGAAAAACTATAGTGGTTTTAAATAAATGAAACCACAAGCTTTTCACAGCGAATTTAGATATTAGAAACATCAATGAGTAACCCTTTAACCACGTGCAAATCTATGTTAGATTAATAGTTAGTAGTGTGACTAAGGATATGAAATTATCTGCAATAAGTGAAATAAGAGCTTCATGAAAATAACTAGTATTCGTTTAAGGAGTCGAATCAGCTCTAAAGATTTTAACATTGGGTGATGCGAAGAGAGAAGGCTTAGAAATTACAAGTATATTCCTTATATCAAGAACTATTTACTAGGAACAGATGTGTCGACCTACCTATGAATTAGCGGTTAAGAGGTTCGACCTTCAGCTACTGAGTCCTAGGTTTATACGCCGTTCCATCTACTTTAGTTTGGGCTTTGATGAAGTTTTATTCTCTGAGCTGGGTGGTTTGGTCGTGGAGCTTTCATCGTTATTCTGAACATCATCAGCACAAACTTCTGGAAAATTGAAGACTTAAGTATATCGGAATCCGACCCACATATATCAAATTCTTAACTACAGAGGCAACAACTCAAGAGCTCGCAAAATCAACTGCGTACAAACTCAGAAACAAAATCGAACACAGAAACCAGTAAACAGAACATCCTACCATATATAAAAGGCATGTCAGAAACTACAAGATCGTTAAAGCCTTTTGGAATAGGTGTAGCACACGAACCAACAAAATCACTTCAATCAATCCTATGCAAACCAAAGGACGAAATGACGAAAGAAGAAAAACCGAAACTCATCAACAAAATAAATTGTTCCAATTATGAAAAAACACTAGGTCGGATAAAGTGGAAACCCTCTTCATCTTCGCCTGTACGAGTATCAATTAGCGCAACGACATATCCTCGCTTATACCAATGAATGTGGACACACATTCGACCGGAAAAATGTTGAGATCTTGGATAGAAGTAATTCTAAAAACACCAAACAACTTTCAGAAGCTTGGCACTTAGGTTGATCAGCAATCAACAAGCACATTGAAATTGATCCAAATTACCAAACAGTCAGAAAAATTATGAATAAATATAGGACCGTGAACCAAATCAATGAGAGATACAATCAAAATAAAGTAACAATGACAAGTTAAAGGTCAACAATAAACAATCAACATCGAGGTCTACAGGACAAGCTGAGTCATATGTGGAGAAGTTCGAACATTTCACTTCTACCTGAAATTTGTGATGTCGTTCAGGATAACGATGGAAGCTCCACGGCCAAACCATCCAGCTCAGAGAACAAAACTCCATCAAAATCACCCACTCTAGCTAAAAGTCTTTTCCATCATCTCAAAATCACATGAGCATAGTACTTTAGTTTGGGCTACTAAAAAACATTAACTTGGTGGATACGTTACTTAGGTTATTTTTCATTCAATTAAAATCAGAACAATGTTTTACGATAGGAAATGATTACTTGAGTCAGAATATTAAATTGCAAAGAAGTACCACTTTGTACGATTTATATTCGTTTTTAGATATGATTTAAGGTAATAGGGAACGCTAGTTGCCGCGGTTCGACTTTAAACTTAGTTTACACGGATTTATGAGTTAGGAAATACTAAATCTAGTAAAAATATGTACCGATTATCGGGTAGAATCATCCTCCAAGGACATGGGTAGGAGCCACGCTTTAAGTCCGCAGGGTGACAATGCCCTCCGGTTGCCCAAACAGAGGTAGATAGGCGCGGGTTCGAACCTGAGGTCGTAGTAGCTGAATGTCGAACCCCTTAAACACTAAGCCATTGCTCTACAATCACTGGATAGAGGGTGGGAACAATACACTTCAGTCAATTTGACTAGTGTATTTCATAGGCTTATCGCATCATGACTCATTTTGTCATCTACAATCTTATTCATTTACTTGTTCTGTTTTGATGCATCTATGGGTTCTTTCTGTAATCATAGATCTAATGACACGAAACAATATAATGTATGGGGCATTCGTAGTTGATTTAATAGAGACCTAAAAACAGAAGCCAACGTTACAACTAATTCCAGGAAATGGGGATCTAGCATTGATTCTTTGAGATGAACAAAATACGTTTGGAGAGACTTCCTTTGAATCTTCACTAGGTTTTTTTATGACATGATATTTTTGAGACGGACTACAAATACAAGATAGAAATAACACTGGAGGTTTATATACCTTGGATACGAGAATTAAAGCATGAGTGCAACTGAAGTGGTTATCGACAATCAGCAAAGAGTGAAAGAAACATCGTAAAGCGCCGTATATATTTGTGCGCAACACAAAACGCATAAAACATCACTGAGAAATATATATTGTGGAGCGTCCATGGTGATCGAAATAGTTCGCAATCATAAAATGGAAAACTAGTTTGTCAAACGAATTGAAACCACAAAGTCACACTGGGTTTTAAAAGATTTTACAAGCAGAGAACAGCGAGCATTGCGTAATTATTCTTTATGGTCCTAAAACTACCGTCGTAGTGTGGAACGTTCCTTAGATATATAGTTTTGGGATGTGATGACGTAAATACATTTGACTCACGAACGTTCCTCAGATATATGGTTTCGGGATGTGATGACGTAAATACATTTGACTGTCACGAACACAGTAGAGCTCTCAAGCGATAAAGTATGTTTTTCTATGAACTAGTAACCTTTTAAGACCGTGACGACACGGTTAGTTTTCAAGCATCCTGACGATGAAAAACTTATGAGATAACTGGTAACGTTGATGATAATTATCTCATAATCTGTTGTTTGATGGAGACAGAACAGAGGAATTATATTCTTACTTTATTGAATGTATTTATCAACACATTCAAGGGACAATGTGTCTTAGATGCCAGATACAATAAGCTTAGGAATACTAGGAATTTTTGTTCAGTAAAATGCTTGAAAACCATGTGGTCGATGCGACGTTTGCACAGCCAACTCATTACCAAGACAGATTAATACACACACAATAGTGGAAGACAAACCTCTATAGAACCTTTCAATCGAAGACAGCGTATCCAGTAAATTTTGAAAATCAGCACAGTGATCAATTTTGCCTACAAAGTATTACTGACTTCGAATTCAGATTATACCTTTATACAATTGGCATAAACCGCTTGCAGCACTTGCAAAAAATTCCCATACTTTTATAATTAATCTGCTGGGATCATGATCCTGCGGAGTATCACAGTTGGAAGCCATACAGGGAAAAAATACCGAAGTTGGCACAGCTCGAAATCACATAATTTTGATTGGATTAAACAAAGTAAGGTGTACGGTTATTTGCATTTATATTATCTACTTGTAAAAGATGCCAAGTTTCATTTTTAACAATCATAATTAGTGAATACTTGAGAACTAAATCATGATGTGCACTAGTTATTAAAATTTGTTGAACCTTTAGTTAATGTATAGAGCTTTTGGCTACAAGTATGTTCATTCGTTGAAATTCGACTCTTAGTTTGGCTTGACAGGACCAGGTTTTTGATAACTTAAGTGTAATCACGGATGCAGGGAGGTATGTTATTCATTACTTTTAGAAACTAAGAGGCAAAATAATTTGGTTAATAATAGAAATGATAGACTAGTAACGCTCTGAAAGATATCCATTAGTACCTACAGGGCTAAAATTATTGTGTGGCCTTCGTTTAAAAAAGATTCAACAGAGGATATCATCACTACAGTTCACCGCAGATAATTTCATAACTGATGATTCCTTTGTACTTGATTGCCCGCTTATTACGAATTCAGAATATAGTACGTTCATTAGTAATAATCTAATCTTATCTCTCTTGAAATGTGTCACTTCGGGAATTCTTAGACTGAACATTAGTCCGAATACTTCTAGTTATCACACTGACGTCGCGTTGGAATCGAATCTTTGACAGTTGGATAATAATCCAAGCTGGGATGACTTTGAAAACTAGATAGAGCGACTTGAAGCTTGCTGAATGACTGGAAAAGATATTAAAGATACTAAGTTCACAGCCTACTATCCGAGATTCATCGGAAAAGAAACTTACCACCTGCTGAAGGATCAGGCTTTTCCAGAAGAACCAATTTCTTTGTCTTATGAATCTTTCAAGGAATTACTATTTCGTCATGTGCAGTCAGCTTTGAATGCAGAGAGAGCAAAGTCTCATAAAAAGAAGTGACAAATGATCAAAACGTTATAGACTTTAAACTTGAACTGAAGAAAGACGCCGCGAAGTGGAATTTTGGAGAAAAATCGGAAACTCGACTTCATGATCAAGAGATTGCTGGTATAAATATTCAAGGAATGAAAACTACGAGGCAGTAACTGAAGTTGATTTTCAGTCTGTGAAAATTTGTAATACTTTGATCTGTGGTTAGCTTGTTAATTGGAACATTTCTAATAGCAATAAAGGTCTTTCGTGTTACATCTCTGTTAGAAGTACTCTTAAGTGCAGTTTAATACTGAAATATTCCTCAGGTAGTAGATTACTGAGAATATTTTGGTCATTTGTGTTCGTCACATGATTCAAAAGAAGATAACATTTTAGCTCGTTTAGTAACTTTGATTCGACTAGCTCCACTGAACCCACCCAATATCGAAGCAGAACTCACGGACCTCCCAATCAATGTTGGCCCACCAACAATTAAAGAAATCAGCATGCCCATCAGACAAATCAAGAGTGGCAAAGCAGCAGGACCAGACAACATTCCAGCACAGGCACTGAAAGCAGACGTAGCGGCAACTGCAAGGATTCTCCACATTCTCTCCAATAAGATTTGGAATGAGGAACAAGTACCAATAGACTGGAAAGAAGGACTCCTGATCAAAATACCGAAGAAAGGTAATCTCAGCAACTGTGATAACTACAGGGGCACCACGCTTCTCTCAATACCGGGAAAAGTCTTCAACAGGGTATTGTTAAACAGGATGAAGGACTACGTAGACGCCCAACTTCGTGACCAACAGGCAGGATTCCGTAAGGATAGATCGTGTACAGACCAAATCGCAAGTCTACGGACCATTGTGGACCAATCTATTGAATAGAATTCATCACTCTACATCAAATTCATTGACTACGAAAAAGCATTTGACAGCGTTGACAGAACAACACTATGGAATCTTCTTCGACACTACGGCGTGCCTCCGAAGATAGTCAATATCATTCAGAGTTCATATGATGGATTACACTGCAAAATCATGCATGGAGGACAGTTGACAAAGTCGTTCGAAGTGAAGACCGGTGTTAGGCAAGGTTGCTTACTCTCACCCTTTCTCTTTCTCCTCTTGATCGACTGGATCATGAAGACATCAACATTTAAAGGGAAACACGGGATACAATGGACATCTAGGATGCAGTTGGAAGATCTAGACTTCATAGATGATCTGGCCTTTCTATCCCAAACGCAACAACAAATGCAGGAGAAGACGAACAGTGTAGCAGCAGCCTCAGCAGCAGTAGGTCTCAATATACACAAAGGGAAGGACAAGATCCTCTGATACAACACAGCATGCACCAATCCAATCAAAATTAACGGAGACGATTTGGAAGATGCAAAAACCTTTACGTATTTGGGCAGAATCATTGATGAACAGGGTGGATCTGATGCAGATGTGAAGGCGCGGATCGGCAAAGCAAGAGCAGCATATTTACAACTGAGGAACATCTGGAACTCAAAGCAACTGTCAACCAACACAAAGGTCAGGATTTTCAATACAAATGTCAAGATAGTTCTACTGTATGGGGCAGAAACCTGGAGAACTATGGAAGCCATCATCCAGAAGATACAAGTTTTTATGAACAGTTGTCTACACAAAATACCTCGAATCCGTAGGCAGACACAATTAACAACAACCTACTGTGGGAGAGAACAAACCAGATCCCAGAGGAGGAAGAAATCTGGAAGAAGCGCTGGAAGTAGATAGGACACATATTGAGGGAAGCACCCAACTGTGTCACAACGCAAGCTCTCACATGGAATCCTCAAGGCGAAAGGAAAAGAGGAAGACCAAAGAACACATTACGCCGGGAAATGGAGATAGACATGAGAAAAGTGAACAAGAATTGGATGGAATTAGAAAAGAAGGCCTAGGACAGATTGGGTTGGAGAATGCTGGTCGGCGGCCTATGGTCCATTAGGAGTAACAGGCGTAAGTAAGTAAGTAATAACTTTGATAACTAAAATCCAGCACATGGATAAGAACTTCAGAAATCTTGGCAAACCCACTACACTTTCAGTAAAGAAACTAGGAAGACAGCTAAAAGATAATTTGTACGTGCCATCGACCAGAACACCAGTAAGAGCATATATCAAAAAATTAATTCACGCCCCAAAGCAGACATTAAGTGACTATCATCAAAACCATTAGATTACTAGTTCGAACTTATGTCCATTCCATTTGCTTTGTGGAGTTTAGTAATATCAACTCTCAAATGTGTGGTGTGGCACAAAACCAGATATATCAACGTGTACCTAGTACCCCCAATACCGAGTCAGTTTACAGTTAGTGTTGAAATCATGAACTGATCTAGGTTATACAATCTTTGAAAACCTGGAAGTACCGGATGGTCGTTTCGTCCTGGTCTGGGTCTCATCAAAAGTGCACACCCACCGCTCCACACGCAAGATTCTGACCCAGGGCTTTCGGTCTCGTACGAACGCTTAGTCTCTAGACCACTGAGTTGGCATCCGACAGTTTTAACATCTAACCCCAATCAATCCACGATATTGCACGACCATCTATTGCCTTCGAAGGATAACTGCCTCACATCTGATAAGGTTAAGCTCCAATGGTCACGGCTTCTTACTGGAACTCTGTGAATTACCTCTCAAAGCTAGTCACTAGTGAGCATACGATAATTTTCAGTTTGAGATTGTGTAGATTGTTTAATTTTATTGAAATCATGAACCGATTATTGTTAAACTACCATTAGTTTAAGCATTTGCTCGAAACCGGAGGTCCAAGAGTTCGAATCCCGCATGTGAGACCGTGGATGAGTACTACCGAGGATTCCCATGCCAGGACGAAACGGCCATTCAGTGCTTCCTGGTTTTCAGTAGTGGTATAACTTGGGTTGGTTCGTGATTTCAACAAAATCCGACATTCTACACAACTACATATCTAGAGCAAGAGATATTTCACCATATCTTTGGACAAGAGCTTCTGAGTTCTTAACCGCTTAACTTTCGTCCCAGTTGATCTTAATCGGAGTGGTCAAGTAATACAAATTTCTTCCCTTGCTCATCAGTCAGTTGAATGTTTGAATACATGTTATTATGACTGATCACCATATTGCTGTTATGAGCCAACATTTCTTACTATCGTGTCTAAATAAACCTCATATTTCTCTCTACAAAAACCGTTCCAACCCATTTAGACAGACTAATAATTGAAAAATCACTTCATATCGTTTCCGCTTTGATCTTTGTCATAATTTTGGAAACGTGGGATATATTTGGTGGCCCTGTATCTGACTCCAGGTAGATCGATTCTGATTGCTATCGAAACACATTCCATCTAATCTTCGTATTGAATTATCGACTTAGATACCGTAAGCGGATGACGGAATTAGGTAAGTCAAGTACGAGAATGAGGTTAGAAAACCTGTATTTCGTATGATCTGTGATCGGAAAGCGAAGCAAAATGAAACGACCAGCAATGAGGAATGCGAGTGGACCAACTCACTTTAGTCAAGCGTGAATCGATATTTGTAGTCGAACAAAGGTTATAGACGTATGATGAGTAAGATGAAAAATGCACACACATACGCTTACACAAAAACAGACAAGGTTGATAAGCAAATAGTTAACAAGGCCAAAATATGCCTTGAGAAGTGTGAATAGATTGATCTGTCCGGAGGCTTGAATAATATATGTGGGCTTGACATAGTATCAGCCACCACCTATATACTGGAATTTCGTAGAAGTTCGAAGTTCAAGCAGAGAATCATTTATTTATTATTTGACTACTAACTTCCTCACAGATCATTGTCATTAAGCACTATCCGCTTTAATGCGTGGATGCAACTTCTTTCATTCTTGACCTGGAAGCAAAACTGTAATTTAGTGTACAACACACTTATTGATGTATTATTTCTGAATATTTGAATAACATCAAAACAGTCTAGATGAAGAGACTTTAAGCATTCTATATGTTATTTTTCAATAAAAGATATTATACGTGAAGGTCTGGTGTTCATTGCGACTGTACAAACTTTTGACTTGAAGGCGATTGGAAATTCAAAGAAACACCACATATATGACTCCTGCAGGAATGCTGTTGAGACTCTAACATTATTTATCGGCAGAAATCCCATTTCGTTGTTTATTCAGAAAAAAAATTGAAGTAAGATACTGATACTGGCAGACAGGAAAACAGTGGTGACGCTATTTCTATTTGTACACCGGTTAATACATGATTTTTGAATACCGGTGAAATAGAATCTGTCGGTTCATTTAATCAAACATAAAGATGTAGAAGACCACCTTCTTTGAATGGGTTCAGTCAAAGTTAAAAGTAGGGATAGCCCGCTGCTGATAAAGAAGTTGGGAAACACCGATCAAACCCATTTTATAAATGATTTAACTTTTGGGGGAACGTATATAAATCAACAGGATTAATAGTTTTTCTGCATCTAGTGTAGTGAACAAGGACACGAGTGGGAACAATCGAATGTATTTGACACGAAATTACAGAGCATCCCACTAAAATCTGAGAACCATATAGTAAATCGTTAATTTGCAAATTACCACTCCGTCATCTCAAACTTCATTCTTTACTCTGGGGATGCGTAACGTTTATTTCCTTGTGTAATCTATGAAAAACCCAGGTAGTTGTAGCATCGGCCAGTAATTAAGTGCTAAGTGGATGGAAAATTCTTCAGAAACACTTGTCATCTCAGTGTATTGATCCAGGTTAACTGGTACTGACTCCATTACTGTTCGTTAAGGAATTGGATTTGCTCCACAAAGATCTTGGAGGTCCTTTAACTATTTCTGAAGTCTGTGATTATTGGAGGTGAAGTTGTCTGAGCAAATGAGGTAAATTGTTTAATCCTTATGGAAAAGTTAGACTAAATTTCTCAGAAGTTTATTTCTGTCGACTCATATAATGAGTTTATTAGTCCACTGACAGGCTTCTTTATATTACATAAGTATTATGATTTGGTACAGTGAAATTTATGACCAAGAGAGGGCATGTAGATCTGCATGGCCAACAACTTATTGACAAGGGCTTGCCCAATTAAACTGCGGCTCACGAAGTTCTTATTTTGCCCGGCAAGTCTGTCGTTTGCATTATAAAATACGATTGTCTTATGCCTCCTTGGACTATTCCAGTCCATCTTGGTGATTGCTAATATGAGAGCTGGACTAAAGTCAAACGCTTTGTAGCCCGCTAACTAGGTACTGGGCCTACGAGCTGATGCGATATCTTTCCTCTTTTTCCAGGGTTGTCGCTGGAGGTTAGGGATATAACGCTCGGAATTTCATTTGTGCTTGGGGAAAAGGGGATGGCAATAGTCTTAACAGATCTACTAGTTTTGTGTACACGACGGTTGGCTGGCCATATGTAGTCATAAGTGCAGGCAATATTTGGGAATCCTCATTGACTAGGCTTTTAGGAAATGGATCTTTGTTTCAATTGACTCTAGCATATCCCAATAAAAAGTGCTGATTATTTTTCATCACATTAACATTTTTGTTGAGCAGATTCAGCTCCAGTCTGGACGAGACAGAAGGCTGGATGGCCTGTGTGAGTCCTGGTAATGGGGGTCTCGCAGTTGGTCCAAATTCGATCTGAAAGCGTAGACAAATGAAGCTTCAATCACGTGTTGAGGTAGTGAATTCTACTCGTTGATGTTTCGATGTGAATGTCAATAGTCAGTGGAAAGTAATATTTCCTGGGATAATGGACTTTTTCACTGTCCCCGTAAATTCTTTGTTTTAGAAGACAGGAAATGTATGGTCAAACCAGATGTAAATTTGTCAGTGAGTAATTTGAAAATTTGATCAATTCGCCCCTGATTCTTCTTTATGAAAATGGAAATAATTTTGGTTCAGCCAGTCGAGCATCATGCGGGAGCTTTGCTACTCCGCGAATCCACTTAGTTGCGATTCTCTGAACCTTTATCAACAGTTCTTTGTTTTGTTTTAGACAGAGGCTAGTCGCTTGTATGCAGTACTCAAGTTTAGGACTCACAAACACTATATACAAAGTCAAATAAGTTTTGTCATCTACGAGACCAATGGTTCTATGCATTAAATAGAGAGTTTTGAACCCGTCGACCGTCTTCGCACGGCAGTGCGCAAAAGTTTTTAGGCATTGCCATTATGAGTCTGAACAACAGGTAGCTCAATGTTATTCACCACGTAGTTATTTGTATCTTGTTGAACAGCAAACATCCTAATGTACTTGTGAGTATTTATCGGCAACTGTCGAATTCCAGACCATTCAGATAATTTCTGTAGGTCATTTTGAAACTCTAAACTAACTTTACTTTTTATCGCTCTCCATATCTTGACATCGTCAGAATGTAGCGAAACCTATTATTATATGGGACTGGCAAGGTCCCCAAACTGTGCCCTGAGGCACTGCGCTAAGCACATTTTTTCAGTTATGCATTTTGATTTCACCCGTGCTCTCTGTTGACACCTAACTAGGAGGTTCTTTATCCGCATTGATAAATTGCCTTTGATCCTGATATTTCTTAACTTATATAACAGCTAGTTGTAGGGAATTTCCACTGAAGTTCTTCCAAAGTCATCGTAGGCTACATCTATAGGTAACTTTTGGTCTTTGAGAATGTATCAACTTTCACGGGCCACTAGTAAGTTGTGATGACATGAAAAACCTGTTCTAAGACCATGCTACTTCTAGGAAAGAATTCTTACGAATAATATTTTCCAAGATTTTAGCAACCGCGCTAGTTAGGCCTATGGTCAACAGTTCTCAGGTTTGTGTTTCGTACCTGTTTTGAAAACAGAAATTACTATGGCATTCATTCAGTCGTTTGCTAATCGACCCTGGATCACAGATATATTGAGAGCTATGCCTAAGGAGCTCACGACAAATTTCGCTAATCCCTCTAGTAATCTAAGATGTATTTTGTCGATTCTCTTTGATGTGGCTTGGGCAGATAAATGTTTTCTATTGACAAACCTGTGAAAATCAAAGACTAGAGCTGCATGACCACTTCTGCATAGGGGTGGCATGTAATGGCTTGTGCCATTATCTTCATAATAGTTCAACGTGTGATCTGGTAACAATGGTTCAGAGTCCGGGTCGTACCTTGTTGCTCATTTCACATGTTGCATTACTGCACATGGGATAACCGCAGCAACAAGTTTCTGTTCGATATGATTTTCAAGCAGTTCAGTCCTCAGGATTTTCCAGTCTACTGTTGGTGAACTAAGGTCCCCTAAGATTAAACGTCGACCACTTGATGACCAAGAGTTGTAACCATCCAGCAAGATCTTATTCACCTCACACTTTGGACTGCAGTAGATCAAACCAATTAGCAGCCCTTGTCTTTTTTGCTTCAAGCGGTAACTAACCGATTCACATGTCCCACTTTCATGGGTTATGCTATCAATAACGGTGAATCAGATAGCATTTCTAATGAATAGAGCTACTATTCCTCTTTCACGCTTCTGGATTCCGTCGGCTCTCATGTATGTGAAACTTTCAAAATCAAGTGATAAGGTTTCTTAGGCGTTTCTTGCGCGCTGTCATTTGATGGGTTATTTGACGGAAAGAACTTTCTTTCGCGGGCTTTCATTTCTAACCAGACTCTACATAGGTTGTCCTTCCTCCTTTGGTCCGTGTAAGCTAATAGAGCTTATTTGAGAGACTTCACCAATTTGTTTATCGACCGAACGACTACCACTTGAAGTGTTCCGATTACGCTTGCTAATACCCTTTTTTAGCAGCATTCACCATTACAGTGGCTTGGGATATCAAGCTGATTGTGTCCAAGCGACACTGCTGACACAACTACACACATATATTCCTGCTAAATCGCTTGAAGCCCTCAGGCGTTAGATTCGTGCAAACTTCATGGTACTGTAGCGTGGCGTCGAGTCGAGATTAACTATGAACACCGCTACCAAGAAACACGTGCCAAATAAATCAGAAGGCGAGAGTTGGACGTAACCAAATAGATCCATAAAATCCCCGAGAAGCCAAATATCAGAAGGCAATTAATGGACCAAGTCGAGGTTTATTAGCTGGCGATCTCGTGGCATCGAAAGGATACCGAGATCGTGCCAGGATACAAGCTTGGTTACAGAACGTAACCGAATTCCCGCGAAGTTACAATCGAAGTGTGGGAATAAGAATGGAAGTACAAAATAGCTGTCATTAGCACAGTCAAACAAAAGCACATGAAAACAGTCACTGGTACAGTTGGTTATAATAATAATTGTTTTTATTAAACCAGTCGTGTTCTCGTGATAAATGTGAGTCACTACAGTACCATCGTTTGCACTCATCGCAATGCATGTCACTTTTCATAGGGTATCGGCAGCCTCGGCTTTGGAAATGCACCGCCAAGCCACGAGCCAAAGGGTTTCAAGACGAAACTAGACACAAACAATACCCCGAGACAAAAGAAACTGACGATCAAAAAGAGTGAAAAAATGTAAATTGTCAGAATGAAGAGCGTGAACAAATAGAATATAACCAATGTGCTCAAAAATATAGATGATAAATTTCCTCTTAATAAAAGATACTCTCGGCGATGGCTTTAACTGGTATAAATTCAGTCGAAGCGAAAACGGTAGTCTTGATGCATAAAAAATGGTTAAAACAACAAAATTAACTCTGTCCGTTTTAAATAGTGCTCTTGTCTTCTCTACTCATTGATCTACACAACCCTGTGCTGAAACGGAAAAAAATTCTTAAAGGGTTTATTTAACAGTACAGGGCAATAAAAATAACCAGAGTGTAGTGAAAATACCACAGTCCATTCTAAATAGCTCACGTGCGTTTCCTTAATTGTTAACTCACGCACTTGGTCTTTATCTTAAAAATACTTATGTTAAACGTTAATGGATCCTCTTGGGTAGACGTTTTTAATCAAAATCATTTGATTTAGGTCACCTAGTTGCGAAGACATTAGATGTTGAACGATGTTGCAATCGTAGTATTTGGTAGTTACGCTACAGTAACCAGAATAGGTAAGCGAAGTGTGGCCACGTTCTAAGCATAATTTCTATTTTTTTATACCGATGAAGGTTAATCGTACCTAGTACTTGATTTTTTCATAATGTGGGAAATCGTGTTGTCGTTTATGAGTTCAAAACTATTAGGTACTGTGAATATGTAATAAACGCCCAGACAACCCAAAAAGGGGAAATAAAGGGGAAAATGCTTTGGTAGCGAAAGGGGAAATAAAGGGGAAAACGCATCAGAATGTCGCCTTTTTCGCCTGTCCGGGGGAAATAATGCGGATTTTCCCCTTTTTCGCCTTTTTGTCGACAAATTACCGACTTATCGCCTAAATATCCGCTGAATTATCGCCTTTTCGCCTAAATATCTGCTGAATTTTCGCATTTTCGCCTAAATATCCGCTGAGTTGTCGCATTTTCGCCTAAATATCCGCCGAATTGCCTACTTATGCGCTTAATTGTCTACCTTTCGCCTAAATACACACATTACCTACTATTTTCTATCCATCGACAGAACCCAAAAGGTCTCCTATGTTCGCCTTTATTTTCAACAACAGACCAAAATATATCTGCAATGCAGGGGAAAAGCGGTAAATATTTCAAAAATTTTATTGAAAAAGAAAAGCGTATTATTGTACAACATTAGAGCACAAGCTGAAGCATCGATTGTTATGCATATCCAATGCAATTGCCAATTCATTGTTATTTGAAATTATCTGAAAAAGAACGAACAGGTTATAATTTATTCATAAGAAATGTGCATTTAATCAAAAGTTCACTGAAACTCAAACACACATTCTCAACACTTCAACAGTTTCCCATGTAGGTAAAAGAGTAAGCTGTTTGAAAGAATGTTTATTGAAATCGAGGTACAACATCAAAATAATTGCACGGACTAATCAGAATTGAGGTAGTCACAAACACGCATGTTTGTGACTGTTTATGTCTACTTAGAAACGACATGCCACCACTTTATATCAAGCTTAAACGTATTCCTGTTGATAATACACACTATTGTTGTTGATAGATATAAATAATTGTTGGTCTATAGCACCGGGTTGATGATCCAATTGGAAGCTTCTCAAATTGTCTGGGTTGTTTATAGTTGTTGCTCATATTCAATACTAAAAATATGACTCATTATTATGTTCAGTCACCCTGAGAATATCCAGAGTTATTTAGGGATTAGTACTTTCATTAGTGAGCTCACTAGAAAGTTTTTTTCTCAGTACCTAGGTACTGAAATAAGCTTATTTCATTAAATTCTAAAAACTGACATTTGGACTTGGAACCAAAAACTAGGTACTGTAAACATTTATGTCAGCTCTATTTTTTGGCAATAATAAACCACGGAGTGTGTGACTAGTCGCTAGGCACCGTAATATGTTTTAATGTTTGATCATTTGAATTCAACTTCAGGTTATGTTCAGATTGAGGTTTGTGTATTAAGGACAGAAAGCCAAAACTCTATGTTAAGCATTTCCCGGTAGGATTATGTCAATATTTTATACTTTTCCTGGGACCAATCGGTTGAGAGTGAGGATATCATTTACAGTAATGGGTTCTAAAAGTACACTACATCTGTGTTCCAAGGAGATTTTGTTCGTTCGTTTCCTAAACTAACTTAAAGAAAAAACACACATCAAGTTTAAATTCATTTCTCGATACCCTATACATAATTAAAACCTCGATCTGTAGTGAGATAAATTAAAGGTTTAATTTTTAAACTGCATTGTGTGACAGGCCTTGAAATTCTGGAATCACACAAGGATTTATCGAAAAATGTTCAGTATATGTGAGTAGCTCTCCAACATTGTCCTTGCTACCTTAACTCCGTTTTATTCGCGATCTCACCAGGAATGTGTACGTCGTGGCTAGCACGCTTATATTCAATCTGGTAAATGTTCTTCGTAATCCACACAAGGCTCGCAATCATTTAGTTGCAGTTAGATGGGGTTAAACTGTTTTCTTACTGTTATGACTTACTATGGACCCTAGATATTTGTAAAAACAAATTTAATGGCACTAATCTTTCTCCTTTATTGTAGTTATTTACATTAGCGTGTTCAATGTACATGTAGGCACGTTTAGGTCCGTTGATTGGGATAAATGACTAGGTTTACTTTAAGTGCACGTACGTTGGCACCTACTTCTCAGCAAATTTTGGTGTCATCAGTGCAAAGTAGCAACAAGAATTTAACGATACGCGGAAGTTCATGTCCATAAAGTATTAACAATAAGGGACCTAGAATCTGCCAGTCTTCGGTTTACTTTAGCAGAGGTCCTGAAATTCCTAAAATTCCCAGCTTTGATAGTTGTCTTTTATGCGTTGCCTTGTCAAATGCTTTACTTAAGTCCATGTAGGCGATATCTATCGAGTTTCCATTCCTAAATAACTTCGTCTATCTCTTTGTTGCTACCAGGAAGTTTGTTGTACGAAGTAAATCTTTCCTAAAACTGTCTATAGTTGGTTAAGTGGTTGGGATTGTTTGCATCATTTTGGTGTTAAACCATAGATATTTCCACCTAAGTTAGTACACATGGTGGCATAGATACCTTCTGAAATTTCACAGTCAAAAAATACGTTTTGTAAAATTTAATGTTGTTGGATTATAGAAAAACATCGGTGTGTGGTTAGTATTTTAGCGATATCCAGTTTCTTTCCTAGGGCACCAAATATTCCGTTAATCGCAAGTCTTTTGTACGAATGAATCACGTAAAGCTAGAAGATCGCCCCCCTAAGAATAGTGGCCGAACCAAATGTTTCAAGGGCTGACTCAGATTTACCACTTATTTCGCCCCCAAATGCCCTGGTACGGCCGACAATAGGAAGAGTCCGCTCTCCCTCTCGAAATGCTCTCATATGGCCATTCATATACAGCCAATGACAGGGAGGTCCTACTCACTGTTGTTTACGAAATTCAGAGGAAGAAAAGTGAATGTCTGACACCCAAAACAGATTGATGGGCACGGAGGACCCACCTAGGGGAGTTGGAAAACCCTGATCCCAACTGAATAGTGCACACAGGCCCCAGGATCCTGAGGGAACAAATGGTATATAAACCTATCGCTGGTCACCGGCTATCGTGGGACTACATCTTCTAACGTTGCTCCACTGCCTTGTGGATTACATCTTTAGATCGAAGACCCAGAGAGTGACTCCCTAAGAAAACCACCTGCTTCGGTGTGGGAACTCGAACAGTACCATAGCCCGTACACAAATTAAGTGGCTTGTGTGACGCATGTGTATTCGGTGCCTCTCTGTACCAATATTTGTTTCCAAATAATAATATTTCAAGGCCCTGAAGTGTTTATCGAGACGAAATAGTTTAAAACAAGATGAGTTGATTTCGTCACCTATCAGAATAGTAGTTTCATTATAAACACTCCCAGATCGTGAGTGACATCGCTTGGAACTATCTACAAGGGAATTAATTCCCTTTACCGTTTTAGCTGTCATGATTATTAACCGTTTAATATCGACTTGGAAAATTCGGGGGATTCAGAGGTTCTCGGTCGTGGTCGAGTGTATTGTTAGAACCTCTCAGTTAACGAAATGCGGACATATTATCCAGCATTCTAGATTGAGCATGTTTTTTGACCCATATGATCACTGCATCAAGTCGATCGAGTAGTATCAGCATTTACTCCTTACGAAAATTTGTTGGTAATATATAGACAATAAAGAAGTCTCCATAGAAGTGAATTAATATAAGGTGTCAGTCTTTAAATTAACATAATAAGATAAAATCAACAAAAGCAAGATAAAATAAAACATTACTGGTCATGCCCCAAGGCTTTTGCTTACCTGTCGTTTAAATTATTCATTATGTTTTAGCCAATTTCTTTAGTTGTGTCGTAGATATATTTGTAGTAATAACAACGTCAAACATCCTATGGATTAAAATCTAATCTAGAAATTTAATCATCAGCTTAGAATTCTGTTTGGTAAGGACACTGGAAAACTGTAACTTGCTGAATCCCTTTAGCGACAACTGAAGAATGTTTCTTAGTGTAAAGTCAAAATATTGTTTCAGCGTCGATCTTCGTCAGTGTTTAGTTTGGTCACAGGGAATAAAGTATCTGAAGGTTTGGACCACATCTTGGTTCGACATTGAGTACTAATTACAGATGATAGATTGATTGATGAGGCTTGGGACTTTTACTAGTCCACGCTATCAGCACGTGGGTTATTTATTCTCACCCACTGTCTATGTGCTTTGGTAAGTAAACTAAAAGTAGTTTGGAAGATATCTAAGGGCTGCCAGACCAAGTTGTGACGTAATTCTATAGTCTGGGTTATATCGAGAGGTATAGGCTTATTTGGGTTTCATGAAAATATTGTGTTCACTCGTTGCAGACATTAGATGTCATTTCTCGAAGTTAAGTTCCTCTAAACTTTGAAATTATTGTCACTCGATAGTCCTTATTTTTTCATCTCAGCTTCTGTACAAACTAGGTAATACCTTCATTACCACTCCTTCGCCTTTTTATCCTATAATTTTTTTTCGTTGTAATTGGAAATGTAACAACCTAAATCCAAAGTTCTGCGTTTGTTTATGACCAGAAGTAGGCTGACTCAATGGTTGGAAGTTGGATATTGAATTAAGGCACTTAGGAGTGCAATTTTCGAATGATGACTGGTGATACGAGTTATACTGAAATGGAAAAATGGATTTAAATTTATTACGCATCGGTTGAAATTTGACAATTTTCTTATACCAAAAATTAAATTTAAGTTTGGGGTTGTGGAGATTGTCGGATTTTGTTGAAATCACGAACCAACCCAAGTTATACCACTACTGAAAACCAGGAAGCACTGAATGGCCGTTTCGTCCTGGCATGGGAATCCTCGGTAGTACTCATCCACGGTCTCACATGCGGGATTCGAACTCTTGGACCTCCGGTTTCGAGCAAATGCTTAAACTAATGGTAGTTTAACAATAATCGGTTCATGATTTCAATAAAATTAAACAATCTACACAATCTCGAACTGAAAATTATCGTATGCTCACTAGTGACTAGCTTTGAGAGGTAATTCACAGAGTTCCAGTAAGAAGCCGTGACCATTGGAGCTTAACCTTATCAGATGTGAGGCAGTTATCCTTCGAAGGCAATAGATGGTCGTGCAATATCGTGGATTGATTGGGGTTAGATGTTAAAACTGTCGGATGCCAACTCAGTGGTCTAGAGACTAAGCGTTCGTACGAGACCGAAAGCCCTGGGTCAGAATCTTGCGTGTGGAGCGGTGGGTGTGCACTTTTGATGAGACCCAGACCAGGACGAAACGACCATCCGGTACTTCCAGGTTTTCAAAGATTGTATAACCTAGATCAGTTCATGATTTCAACACTAACTGTAAACTGACTCGGTATTGGGGGTACTAGGTACACGTTGATATATCTGGTTTTGTGCCACACCACACATTTGAGAGTTGATATTACTAAACTCCACAAAGCAAATGGAATGGACATAAGTTCGAACTAGTAATCTAATGGTTATAATTCTAGCGCTTTAACCACTAAGCTACTGACAAGGTTGAGAAGTGATGTTTTTCTTAATACATAGTGCTTCTATATTTGTGAATGGATAGGTGTTACCCTTTCTAAGGAAATAGGTCTTAAAGGTTACAGATATCACTATTATAGGTGAATTTTAAATACTTGTTTAAAAGTGAACCCCAATAAAACATCAGTGTTAAACATTTGTTTTCTTATTTGATTCATTTTAAGGCTAGTAGTTCCTACGGATTAAATAAGCTTGTTTGTATATTGCAGATTTTAGTTACAATGTAGAACAGTTGTTATTTAGGTTGCTTCTTGATATTTCCGTTTTTATTCAACACTGCTTCCGTAATACATTTTTTACAGGCTTATAAGCGGCCAGAATGGACTTCAAAAGACCTTTGGCTGGAGTAACCTCAATGTCGATGGTTCCTTTGCCTAGCAAGAAACCTCGAAAAGATGGTTCAAGTTTGGGAATCACCCCATTTGGCAATGGGATGTACAAGTTAAATTCCCAGATCATACCAGCAGGACAGGCGGGAAGTATTCCCCGTACATCAAATTTACTGTCACCTAATATGCTTTTAAATGGCCATGAAAGTGAAGTGTATTGTGGCAAATTTTCTTCTGATGGATCATTTCTCGCAAGTGCTGGATTTGATCGCCGGATACTATTATGGGAGACGTATGGTGAATGCGAAAATATTGCAACGATGATGGGTAAGTTAAATTTTTTTTGGCAAAGATGAATATAAAATAATCTAACCTAATGCAGGTATGTGCGTTAGTCTGTATGTCACCATTATCTCTTAATGATGGTAAATCAGTCGATGAGGTAATTCTTCACCGACTAAGATGGTTGGGCCACGTGTTACATATGCCTGAACACCGATTACTACAACACGCAATGCTGACTAATGTTGGAGACTGTTGAAAGAAAATTAGGGGCGGCCAAACCAAAACATGGCATTAATGCTTGAAGTCATTAACTTCTAGTCTAAGCCATGTTGGTAGGTGCAGACTACTTGGTTGGGGTCTGCGTGTCTGTCGTAACCAATGGTTGGAGACTGTGGATGACATGGCTCGGAATCGATCACAAGCGCGTAGGTGTATACACTCTGTCTTCCATTAAACCGTGAGATTAAAATTGCTTTATATCTTACTTTCTACGAACTAGTTCTTTCGTTGTGTACTACATCCTTATATGCAATCTTTTTATTTTATACATTACTACTATTGAATTAACTACTATGAATTTGGTGTTCATCTTGTTGTGCTAATGAGGTTTGGCAGTTTGGACCGATGTATATATGTGCCTGGTCCTACGTTGTAGCTGATTGACTGACTACACGTCACATTAATTTAAAAGGGTTGAATAATCTCACATTTCACACCACTGTATTTAAAGCATTTCTTGAATCTATAGCTATAAAGTTAAAAGTTGGTTAGCTTTACCGATGTTTTACTCCTATAAATATTTCTTAGTGAGATGTTATCTGTATGTACTAGGAAAAATCACTTCTACTTGTAAACATAGGGTTGGTTCAGTTTTACAAGAGGGTTAGTAAGAAACGTTAAATATGCTGTCCGTTGTTGATTATCTACGAATGTTCTTCAGGAAACATGCAGTTTTAATTTCCGGTAATTTAGAAATCTGATAAAAGCTACTAATGCTCTTATGAACGAGAACTCAGATGAGAAAAACAAACTTATTCCTTATGCAAAATGACAGTGCTTTCGTAAAATATGAAAACCATTTATTAAATACATAATTTGTACGTCATTTTTGCATTGCCCTTTACGTACTCCATTATTCTTCTAATTCTGTTGTTATTTCGATTATTTTCCGATTTCATTTCTGTTCCCTTCACTTCAATCTTCTGCTTCCAGGCACTCCACTCTCGTTTGCGGCTACATACTACTGTCAGCATAAGTAGCATACGCCACACTACTACTACTATCACCATATAATAGTAATAATAATACTACACATATATACCACACATACATAATAACAGGATAATAAAAATATCAGTAAAGAGATCGAAAGATATCAAGTCGCTAAATATTTGATTTTTTTTGTCTCGTACATCAGAGGACTAATCACGTTTCAGTTATCATTATATCATAGTAATGGTTTAAATGTTACTGTTTAATCTAGACAAGAATCAGGAAAGTTATATTTCTCATTAATAAATGGACTGTTCGTTAGTATATTATTGTTACCAGTATATTATGAATGTCAGTACTTCAATATTATTTCATACTTTTTATCCCTCGAGTTCACTAGTCTTTCTCCTCAATGTTTGATTTTCATAATAATTGATACTACTGTTATTTCGACTACTTTTCGATTTCTCTCAGTGATAATGTGGTATGGGAACGGGCTGATACAATCGTACCAGGCTCTGTATTGGTTTATGGAGGCCTGTTTAACAGAGTTTTCATAGTGCACGTGAGATTGGTTCTTACTGCTATCGTATTTCTTAAAACAATTAGGGTGACTTGATTTTCGGTTTCGTTTATTTACTCCAAAAGCACTTGCAATAATTTGTTTCATGTATATTTGAAGATATGATGAAACAATTAAGCGTTAAAGCGAAGTCATTACTGAACTACTTAAAAAGTAAATTCGAATTGTAATAAAGTTTTGAAGGTGCTTATGTATGATCAGTTCGTTCACTATGCTAATATTTCGCAACCTTGATTTCAGTGTAGCGAATGAGACTTCTATTTTCTTCTCTAACCCTCTTACTAGAGCAAAAAGACTATTTCAGTAGCGGAAGCTTTGTTGATGATGACCTCAGTATAGTTCAATACCTAAAAGTTTGATTTAGCAGTCAGTTTCAAGAATTTGACTAAAATGTAGGATTATATGACACTAAACTCACGGTAATCAGCTAGACATTTAACCTGTTGGTGAGAAGTCATTGTAATACAGTTCTTTGAAAATTAGTCAGTCATATGAAACGTAGAATCGGGAACTTATATTATTGGTTCAAGTTACTTCACTCGATTGGGGCAGCGAGATGTAATTGTCAAGACAAATATTAGAGCTCCCTATGTCTATCACTGTTTATGCATGATGAGTATTCCCGAAGTTTTAGGAATCAGACTATTCTTTTTCTTCTTCCTATTGTTATTATTATTCAAACATAAACATTGCTACAAATGGTCACCAAAATATATACGCGCCACACATATAATTAGACTTTTGTGTGGGCTGAGGTGGTGTCCGAGTTCTCACACCGAAGCAGGGAGTCACTCTCTGGGTCTTCGATCTAAAGATGTAATCCACAAGGCAGTGGAGCAACGTTAGAAGATGTAGTCCCATGATAGCCGGTGACCAGCGATAGGTTTATATACCATTTGTTCCCTCAGGATCCTGGGGCCTGTGTGCACTATTCAGTTGGGATCAGGGTTTTCCAACTCCCCTAGGTGGGTCCTCCGTGCCCATCAATCTGTTTTGGGTGTCAGACATTCACTTTTCTTCCTCTGAATTTCGTAAACAACAGTGAGTAGGACCTCCCTGTCATTGGCTGTATATGAATGGCCATATGAGAGCATTTCGAGAGGGAGAGCGGACTCTTCCTACTGTCGACCGTACCAGGGGGTTTCGGAGAAAGAACTGTTTATACTGATCAGATGAAATTATTTAGAAACAAAATCCTATTTTATTAGATACTTCCCAAATAAACCTTATAGCTCTCATCTGTTTGTCACTTTGACTTAATTGTCAAAAAATATTGATTGATCAGTATGTATAGTGTATTTCTCTTTACATCACTGTATCTTCTACCGTATGTTCTAGTACAGTTCATTCAGTTTTCATCTCTTTTCTACCCTTTCTCAGGTCATGGGGGTGCTATTTTGGATTTAGTGCTTTCTTCAGATGATTCGGTCATCTATACTGCTAGTTCAGATAAATCTATCGCCCTATGGGATACTGAAAGTGCCCAACGCATTAAAAAGTTCAGAGGTCATGAGAATATTGTTAATTCATGTGCAGTTGCCAGACGTGGTCCTCAACATGTGTGTTCCGGTTCGGATGATGGGACAATTCGTCTGTGGGATCGGCGACAAAAAGCCTGTGTACAAACATTTCAAAACACATATCAGGTTAGGTAACGTTAAAAATCTTTGGTTACAAATCTAGTTATTATCGCCTCAAATTCTAGTCCCATAATTTATGTTATCGTTGAGTTTAATATCTAGTTTGTTGTTTTCATCATAATTGCGACGAAGGTTTAATCCTGGTGTTTCATATAGTGACTTTTACTCTATGCTTATATGGTGTCACATACTAGATAAAGACGGTCATCCAGTGTTTCCAGGTTTTTAATGGTGATCTAACATTGACCGGTTCATGATCTTAATCAAAATATAAATACCGCTAGATTATTCGTTAAACTATCTTGAAGGAACTTAGTGGGCAAAGTGCTTATTTGGGAACATTCTTCACAGTTTATAGGAAAATCTTAATGCTAATCACTTGGAAATGCAATATATTATTAAATAATCATCGATATACTCCACTAGTTAATTCAATAGATCCAACTGTTAACTAGACATTTAGATCTTATTTCAACCATCAATTATAGTATTCTAATGTTTTCTGCACTAGAAATACATATATATTTGATTTTCACGCTACAGTTTTGCAAAGCAGCTGTTAACCACAATTCATTTGGTATTATTTTTGTTTTATGAAGTCCAATTTACCTCATAGAGTAATTTTTTATAGCATCACCAAAATGAACGGCTTGGCTATATTCTCAATAGTCTGAAATGATCGAGATTTCTATATTTTAGACAATTCGACGTCGACCTAGTGTTTCTAATGGTGATTAAGCATGTTTGGCTCAAGGCTTGGAAATCATGAGTTCGACCACTTGTGGGATTGTTGGTGGGCACTGCCAAGAAGTTTCATGTTAAGATACAACAAATGTCCAGTACTTCCTAGTTTTCTGTGGGATCTTAATTGAAATCAATTTGTGACAAATTCAATGTACAAATTATTTTAAAAGTACTTAGTTTTAAGATCACTGTATACGACAATATTCTAGTTTGAAGTTATATGCACTAAAAATAAGAATCACTATTTTTGTAGTTTTAGCGTATTTGATCTATTCTATCCTATCATTTTACTGTAGTTGATTTGTCTGTCGCACTGAATGATTTTATGTCGTCTTATTAAAAAATACTAATACTTATTAGGATTCACTTGTATTCGCGTGAAGAGCTGCTTACAGAATGAACACTGAGTATTGGATTCCATCACTGGTTGTTAATCCGGCAATTTATTATTTTTATTTCAACACATAAATATCGGTACAAGAGGGCACCAAATATATATGCACCACACCATATTTGTGTGTGTGTGGGCTGTGATACTGCTCGGGTGCTCAGACCGAAGCAGGTGGTTTTCTTAGGGGGTCACACCCCAAGCCTTTGACCTAAAGGTCTGATCCACAAGGCAGTGGAACATCGTGAGGAGATGCATTCCCATGATAGCCGGTGACCAGCGATTGGTTCATACGCCATTTGTTCCCGTAGGATACTGGAGCCCATGTGAACCATTGGTTTGGGATCCGGTTAAAGCGCCGGACATTCGCTTCTCGTCCTCTTATTTTCGTAAACAATCATATCATAAAGAAAACTGGACTATTGAGAATCATTATGAAGTAGTTGTTATCCTTTCTGGTGTCGATCAGTTCAATATAGGCAATCCATAAAAAGAAATGAAAAGTCCTACTGACATTATATTTCTCGTAATTTCTATACTCTGTGAAGCTTGTTTTAATTACTTAGATCATGTAATTGTTTAAATAAACAGAGTATCATTCTCTTCTATGATTTGAACTGAATACGTTTAACATATATTAGTATACTTTTGATTGATCAGTCTTATTTGAACCTTTTTCTATATTTCATTAGGTTCTTTCAGTTACTTTTAGTGATACTGCTGAAATGATATTTTCCGGGGGCATAGACAATGTTGTTAAAGGTTGGGATTTACGAAAATTGGAAGCTAGCATGCTACTTAATGGACATACGGACACAGTTACTGGTTTGTCAGTAAGTCCAGATGGGTCGTTTTTACTTTCTAACTCTATGGACAACACATTACGTATGTGGGATATTCGTCCATTTGCTCCAACAGATCGGTGCACAAAGGTTAGTTTTAAAATTGCGATAATGTGACAGTTATAGTATCAATCTTTCATGATTATATGATGAGAGATGTTATTATAGCTTAATATGTTCAGCCGATTATCTGGTTATGGCAATAAGTTTTTATGTCTAATTAAACTCTGTGTTTTTGGCATTTAATCGTGTATATTGTTAGTGTAATGAATAATTACAGTATATAATAGAGGAATATTAAGTCACATGTAACAAAACACTCAGGTGATGAATTATTATTTCTACCAAGTATTTATGATTTCCAACTTTACTCCGTTTCATCATAGGTGACGTTATACCGTCGTGACGTCAGATTTTTAAGGTTAAAAATCTCACTCGATACAACATATGATTTAATAATACAATCCTACTAATTAAGCACAACTTCGTAGTTTTAAGTCACACTTACTGTTCGACGGCTAAAGTTATTATCCAGGTAATCGAAACAAATCAGGTGGAGCAGTTTATTCTTATGAATCATATATGTGGAAGTCTAGTGGTCAGTAGTACCATGGAGAGTTAAATTCATGTTTACCAGAAATTTTTATAGTTTTTATCTAGTTTGGACAGTTATATTGTATGGTAAATTGTGCTTTTCCACTCAAAATGATTCTCATTACACATATGGTTTTTGGATATTAGCATATTGTTTGTTTCGGCACAATCATTATGTACGTAAATACCTCATCTTTAGAGCTTCAGTTCAACAGCTTGGTTATCAAATCGTCGATTGTGGTGTCAACATTTCCCAGCTTTACTCAGATCGTTTTATTTTCGACACTCAACTGACAACATTGGACTTCATACAAGGAGTGTAACCTTCAGTATAGATTAACAGACCGTACTTGATCTCATGTTTTATTGTTATGATCATTTAATGATCATTTACACGGCCGTGAAATGAGTCGCATAGTAATATATTCCACAAAACCCTTATTTGCATGAATATCTGTAAATTAGGTAAAAAATCGGCTAAATATATTTAAGGAAATCATACATGTATGTACATATGTATATAGCTGAGCATATTTTTGTTGCTTCATTCAGATTTTTACGGGTCATCAGCATACATTCGAGAAGAATCTCCTTCGATGTGCATGGTCAGCTGATAATCGTCGTATAACTAGCGGCAGTGGTGACCGTTATGTTCATGTTTGGGATGTAAACACACGCCAGTTAGTCTATAAACTTCCTGGTCACACAGCATCGGTAAACGAGACTGCATTTCATCCTACAGAACCAATACTTTTATCTGTTGGTAGTGATAAGAAAATCTTTCTGGGTGAAATTTTGCCTTGTATGTACTAAAATTGTACATTTTTTGATAAAACTCATTTTTCTGTATAAAACGAAGTAAATATATGTAATATACTCCTTGTTGTGTTATTGTATAAATCAATATGAATATGACAGTCTTGTATAATTCTATCCAAAATTTATCAGAAATAAAAGATATTCCGATTGTTTGTTGTTACAATCACATACTTTTCAAGTAGTTCTCAGTTTTGTACGGATTTATGATCAGGCATACAAGATACTTGCATGTTCTATGCTTTCTTTTTATGTTGAAAATCAGAACTAGTAGCTGAGTGATGCCGAATCTGACCGCAGAACTAGGTGTTATGATATCGAAACCATGGGAGTGCATCAGTTCCCTAAAGAATAGTCACATTTTACTAATAACTGTCAACCAACACAATCTTTGTGCAAGGCTTCCTATCTATATCATCCAACCACTTAAACAAAATGCATTGTAATGTCAATTCATTTGATTTAGTGATCAGGGTTCATTTTAATTGATAGAATTCCTGTAAATCAAGTTACTGTAATTGCTAGGTGTATAACTTCGATCATAATAATGAGTAAGATAAAAATCAAATTCATAACTGTATATATTATTATTAAGATTACCTTGAATATTTGTTGGAAAAACCCATATCATATTTCTCTTTGATAAATTTAAGTAGTAGGGGCATCAAAATCGTAGCATAATGCTATAAATTCACATATTTTGTGTATTCTCTTCAGTTTCTTATACGCTGGGAAAAATAATATCAATTATTCGTGACTGATACATCTAGTTTATTGATATCATTATTATCAAAAAAAGTTGAGTACAAAAATAGCAATAAATTTGAAAGAATTATATGAAATGTTCATACGGTTGAATATTTCCATTTTAACTGATGTAAAAATTTCAGATGTGTAAACATGCTAAAATTGATCTTTCTTTCATTATTACACATATATTAGATACATAGTACTGGGAAAGCTGTTTGTGTTTGAAAGTGGAAATATGCTTCAATGTGTATAAAGTGACAGATTAACTACATTGCGTATAAAAAAACGAAACAATCGCTTAATAAGGAATTTTAGAAGATAATCATACCATTCAAGTATAGCAACAAGAATGGTAGAACACTTACTACAGACAAGTGTAAAGCCATTGATTTTCCCAATAAATGTGATAATGACTATGTAGATCGAATCATAAATATTTATCTGAGGATATCTTGATCTGATATTCTTCGCTGAGTCTGTTTTGATCTCACTATGTAATGAGATGGAACAGCCTTTACATCATGGTTTCATATTAAATCATTCAGCTTTAACATATTGAATTTCCCATTCGTATTTTTTACTTAGTAGTATTTCATTTTTGCCTCTGAAAGGATTTTGATATGATCCTTACCAATAGGTGGTGTAACTTTTAAAAAGTTATCCTTACTTGCCTGCCTTAAATTGGACATAGAGTGAAGCGAAAATATTTTCTGTAGACTATACAGCAATACAACGATTAGGATATATCTCTGGTTTCTTAAATGGAACAATAACTCAATTTAGATAAGAGCAATAAACAAATATTCATCAGCTTACTTGGAGTAGTCGATGAATATAATATGTTCCTGATTGAAGTGTTTATTCTTAACATTTTAAATTCACCCAAAATGATAAATATCCTGTCAAGTCCGAACTTACTTTTGATGTGCAAGATATTAGGAGCGTAGGGACGAATAAGTATAAACCATATGCTTGGTTCAATAGTTGTTGGGACTTATTAAGAAGATGTATCTGTAATCCTGGCTAATACTCATGTTTCTTACATTTTTGTTTTTTGAGATTAGCTCTATCACTAGTATGATATTTGGGCTGGGTTCTGATTATTGAATGACAAAATCATACACTTCAATCCGTAATTGGATAAAAGCAATTGTACTCTGGAATTGTACACAATAATAGTTTATATTAACTGGGTTATTTAATATTATCAGTCACCTAACTTTGTGATATAAATTGTCTAAGGTATAATGTATCTGCTGTAAATTATTTAGACATAGACATCATGAATTGTTATTTATAGAACTTTAGTTTCTATGTGAAAATGTTGAATAGTTTTATCTCACTTGTAGGGAATATTTAATATCAATTATTATTACACTAGCTTCTATGCTAAATTTTTCAAAAAAAAAATGAAATAGATTTTTGACGGATTCAAATAATGTTACCCTAATTTATAATTTATGATATCCATTAATTATGACAGATTTTTTTTTTAAGTAACATTTAGTGATATGATACTTTGACAGTTAATTTTATATTCACAAATTTATGTCAATTAATTTTCAGATATGAACATTTTGAGTAGTTATTTTATCAATAAAGTGGAGTTTAATAAATTACTGAGAATCAGTCATCTATCCCTTACTTTAATGTTTAGTCATAGATACCAAGCAGTTTAGACATTAGTTCCATAGTTCATTGATCTTATATTTTGATTAAACAACAATAGACTCATCTTGAAAAGATATTTATAAGTAGTGAATTAATATTTCAGTTATTTTCAGTCAAATTTTTTCGATATTTTTTTGTTCATTTAACTTTAGACGGTCAAATTTGAAATATGATACCATTATGATATCGAACATTTACTTAGTAAATTAAAGAAAACAAGCAATTCGGGCTTTTTTTAAAAAATTAGTTAATTAATAAAGTCAATTAGTTTGAGGACAAAATACATCTCAAATTACAAGTGAATATTGTTTATTTAATAAACAGTTAATTAGAATTACATCACTAAAATAGCTTAGATTAACATAAGATTTTGTTGTTTTTGGGTCTAGTCAGTTAATAAAGTTGTACTTCTTAAAATTATACATAATTAGTATTTCAAAGATAAATCCTTTAGCTAAGATTTTTATGTTTTCAGATAATTAACTAAATAATTAAAGAAGCTGTAACGTTTAGCCTTTAGTGGATTTACATCTAGTTTGAAGATACGTTTTGCGCTGGGAAAGTGTAAGGAGCAGTGTATAATAGAATCTGTAAAAGAAAAAACAAATAGAACAGTTGAGCTGACAACTTAGTAAGCACATAGAATGCAGTTACATTTATTTATGAAAGTAATCAACAACAGTCAGTAATAACACAAATGTAAGATTAAAACCATCTAATAATAATAAAGTAGAAGTTAATAGGATAGAATTTCTAAGACTTTACAAAATATCAAATTAAAAATGGCACTTGTTATTCAACACAAAAAATATTTTAATATTGAGATCATGAGTCAATTGTAGCTAGATCATCATGGAAAACCTGCAAGCAATGGACGGCCGTTTCGTCCTAGTACAGGACTCCTCAGAAGTGACCATTCACGATCCCGCCCGCGAGACTCGAACCCAGGACCTATTGGTCTTGTGTGAGAACGCCTGGTCTCTAGACCACTGAGCCATTATCGAACAGTGTTGATGCCTAACTTCAACCAATCCATGAGATTGAGTGACACATCCACGATTGTCTTCAGTGAGTTATTATCTTACAACAGACCCGATTGAACCCCGTTGGTCACGATTTCTCATTAGAGCTCCAGGAAACACCTCTTGATGCCAGTCACTATTGAGCATATGTTGATTAATAACAGAGGGGGTTTTTGTGGATATTATAGTTATTTCAATCGTTGAGATTAGTCATATTGTAGTGAACGGAACACGGGTTGTGACAATCGAATGTATTTAACATTAAATTACAGGACTTGTTAATAAAATCTAACAATCATAAAGTAAATGCTTGATTTGCAAAATGTTCACCGATTGTCTCAAAACGACTCAGACTTCATTGTTCTTGCATTTTGTTTCCATTCTTTACTGTTCGATCCTCTTGTCTCTGCTGCCAGACCTTCTGTTCACGACTAATTCCACGTCGTGCATTATTTGCCGAAGCTGGGACTGGTTGGAAAAAGCGGAGAGGTGGTCAGTGTATGACATGGTGTCATGGTATGAAAGAAAGGTGCAAAGGGCTGGCTTGTGTTGGTCCTTCATGACTCCCTGGCTGGGGTCCTAGAGATGGTGCGACACAGTGGCTAGAGACGTTATCAGATATGACCAGAATAGAAGTCAGTGGTGATCCTACTGTAACGTTCTTTTACTTCATAAAAAAGTGGTTGTATCTTCCTTAACTGAAAGATTTATTCTGATTGTACCTTTCCGTTTCCCCCATTATTACTATTATTATTATTATTATTATTGTTATCATTATTATTACACCACCTTACACTGATCTATTCGTTATTGTTCTTTTTTTCTTTCTCTTCGAATTCTCATTGTTTTGTGTGGCGCATAAATATTTGGTACCCACTTGTACCAATATTCATGTGTTCAAATAAAAAATAAAATCACGACTAACATCGTGTACTACTTATGTCAATATAAGTAGCACACACCATAATATGAAGCTAGACCACCATGGAAAACCTGGAAGCACTGGAAAACCATTTCGTCATATTGTGGGACTCCCCAGCAGTGAGAATCCACGATCCCGCCTCGCGAGATTCGAATCCAGGATCTATCGGTCTCGTACGCGAGTGCTTAACCACTGATTGTAAGATTACTTACATTGCCCGATCGAAGCTGCTACCTTGACGCGGTGGTCGGGCTTGCCTATCGTGATGACCCAACCGAGCTATATTGGCTGGAACATATGTTCCTGCAGGTTCTACCATGCCAGGCAGGTCGATTGGCGAACGGTAAGACTAAAAGCAGCAACTCAAGGTCTGAGGGCGAAGTCGTACTGCTGACTGTAGAGAGGTGTGACAGCAGTAAGGTGTTTCCCTCGGACAACCAGCATGACAGCGATGCTGCCTTCCCACAAGGAGGGGTGGGGTTAGAAAAGGTCGACCCTAAAAATGCACACCTCACCTTACCTCACGGATTTCCGTCTCCGGCGGTAAGGCCCCTTGAAGAACGGAGCTAACACGTCAAAAACCTTCCACAAAAAGGCCGTGTGCGACCGGCCTCAAGCAGTTGTCCCTTGGGCTCTGCGGTCACGCTCCCAGGTCGTCAAGACCAACACTAATCCAATTTCCTTTTCAGGTTCCTCAAGAAATACCCTTCCACGGTGTGGGCAGCCGGGAAGTGACATCAGCCCTCATACCCGTAACAGCACAAGAGACCAAGTTGGTAACATTCAAATCCTTCCTACACC